AAGATTTTATTTATTTGTCAGAGAGAGAGAGCATATGAGCACAAGCAGGGGAGCGGCAGGTGGAGGGAGAAGCAGGCTCCTTGCTGAGCAAGGAGCCCGATGCAGGGCTTCATCCCAGGACCCTGGGATCATGACCTGAGCCGGAGGCAGGCACTCAGCCGGCTGAACCCCCCAGGCATGATCTCATCAGTCTTAGCTGCTCTCACAGTCTCCACGCCAGGCCTTGAAATGGGAGGGGGCTAACAAGGCACAGCTGGGTGACCTGTGGCCAGATGAAGGCCCCACCCAGTGGGTCAGGGTGGCCCCGAGTGAGTTATTCACCATCCTGTACCCTATTCCAATGTCCTGCACTTGGGGTGCTGACCAGGCCCAAGCTGCCCCCAGGATGAGCCAGCTCTAGCCGCTGCTACCTGCACTGGGACAAAGACGCCCTGTGTGTTCGCCTTGGCCACCCCTGCCCCTCATTACAGCCTCCTCAGGCAGCAGGCCAATGACTCCTGGAGTCACTGTTCTAGAAACAGCCGCTTGCAGAGGCCTGGGGCTCACAGAGCCCAGGGAGAGGGGTGCTCCTTCTCTCCAAAAATAATTCCTGACATCTGCCCAAAGCACACATCCCTCCCTGCTTGGCAGCCTGCAAAGGCCAGGTGCTGGTCATTTGACAGATGACAAGACTGAGGCCTGGGGAGGTGGGTAACCACTGGAGCTACCTTGGGAGCGCTTACCACGTTCCAGGGACTGACTTCACGTGCATTAGCCCAGTTTATTAACCTACTGTACTTAAGGAAAGTAGTGCTATTAAAGTCCCCATTTCTCAGACCCGGACATGAAGGCTCAGCATCATTGTGAACTGCCCTCACGATGGTCCCCGGCCACTCACCCGCAGCCCCGATTGCCCTTACCCTCCGAGGGTCCTTTCTCCCCTGGAAAGTCAGGATGTGTTGGAGCCCATCACTATGGACGTGAAATAAGACGATACAGTTTTTCAAAAATAGATTTTATTTACTAAAAGTTTTAGATTTACAGAAAATGAGCAGGTAGTATGAAGAGTTCCCATACACTGTCTGCTCCCAGCTGCCCTTATTGTTAACATCTTATATTTTACATTAGTGTCTGTATATTTGTTACAATCAAGATACCATATAATGTGGATACATTATTATGAATTAAAGTCCATAGTTTATTCAGATTTCCTTAGTTTCTACCTAACGTGTCCTTTTTCTGTTCCAGGATCCCATCTAGGATCCCACTCACATTTATTTATCATGTTCCTTTATGCTCTTGGCTGTGACAGTTTCTCAGACTTTCCTTGTTTTTGGTGACCTTGATAGTTTTGAGGAGCCCTGGTATCATAGGATGCCCCTCTATGGGAATTTGTCTGGTGTTTTTCTTTTCTTTTTAAGACTTTTTTATTTATTTGAGAGAGAGCACAAGCAGGGGGAGGAGCAGAGGGAGAGGGAGAAGCAGACTCCCCGCTGAGCAGGGAGCTGGAAACCGGGCTCCATTCCAGGACCCTGAGATCATGACCTGAACCGAAGGCAGACGCTTCACCCACTGAGCCACCCAGGTGCCCCTGGAGTTTTTCTTTTTATTTATTTATTTACTTGAGAAGGGGAGGTGGGGAGGGGAGAGGGAGAGAAGCAGACTCCCCGCTGAGCGTGGAGCCTGACAACACAGGGCTCAGTCTCACGACCCATGAGACAACCTGAGCCGAAATCAAGAGTCAGACGCTTAACCACCTGCAGGTGCTCTTGGTCACATCTCCCTGCTTTATCTCTCTCATGGCACATCCTTTTTACTGCTGAGCAGGATTCCATTGCCTGGATGTACCATGGTGCATTTATCAATTTAGCCGTTGGATGTCTGGGTGCTTTCCAGGTGCAGCTGCTAGGAGTCGAGCTTAACATTCACGCACAAGCCTCTAGGCAGACATACGCCTGCATTGCTACTCTGGGCCAGGTCGCCAGCTATTTATTTGTTCTCACTCAATATTTATTGAGCACTTATAGGTACCACGCCCTGTACCAGTACCTTAAATGTTTTCTCTCTCTTAATCCCTAAACTGTACCAAGGCTAGTCCTAAGCCAGTTACGCATCTTATCTCCTTAATCGTCCTAAGCATTTAATCCTTACAGATCACAAGAATAATAATAAATAAGAATAATAAAATATTAGAAAAACAGTATTTATAATAGTGGTTAACATCACGGAGTGCTTCCTGTGTGCCAGGCCCTATGTCAGTGATGTTAAAAATGCATTATTGGGGAATATAACTCCCACACCTTGCTCTTTCAAATAAATGGATGAAATTTTAAAAATAAATAAATAAAGATTTTATTTATTTGAGAGAGAGAGAGAGCGAACGAGAGAGCACAAGTGGGGGATAGGGGGCAGATGGAGAGGGAGAAGCAGACTCCCCGATGAGCAAGGAGCAAGATCCCGGGATTAGGACCTGAGTTGAAGGCAGTCGCTTAACCACCTGAGTGGGTGGTTAAGCGACCACCAGGTGCCCCTAAATAAAATCTTTAAAAAAAGAAGAAGAAGAAGAAGAAGAAGCCGTTGTTGGCTTTTGCTCTCCAGCCTACCCCCCTAGCCCAGGTCCACCCTCCTAGCAGTGTCACTGAGGAGCAGGACTGCCCAGCCTGGATGGCATCTAGGGGTTTTTCTGCAGCCTCCACAGTGTCCGAAGGCCCTGGTCCCCTATCACCAAGGAGCTGAGGACCCCAGCAAAACTCAAAGAACCCTTAAATGGCCCAGCTGGGCCTCAGAAGATTTCACAGGGAGAACCAGCCTGGGGAGGAGGAGGGAAAGGGTTTGCCTGAAGTCCTGTGATCCAACAGACTACACGTAGCGCCACTTGAAACTGCATTTGTGGCCTGCGTGGTTTACAGCTTGCCGCCGCCCCCGCCCCCCCCCTCACTCTGCCCCAGGGACAGTGAGTTTAGTGTCTGCTGCATCTCTGGCTCTAGAGCCTGGCACACAGTAGGTCCTCACCGAATGTTGCTTGATAAACAAAATGACCGAAGAACAACAATTGATCTTTTTGCTATGTGCCAAGCACTGTACTTTAGTAGTCTGCATTAATTCCAGGAATATTTACTGAACCCCCTACTAAGTGCCAGGAACTGGGATGAAGCCATAAACAAAAGACTAAAACCCCTGCCTTTGTGGAGTTGACGTTCTTGAGACCATGAGCAAACAGGAGTGAAGTCCACAAGGATGGGTGCTTGGAGAAAAAGAAAGACAGGAGACAGGAAATGCTGGAAGATGGGGGTGGTTATAATTTTAGATCAGGTGTCCCCAGCAGATGTTTGAGCAAAGACCTGGAGGAAGTGAAGGAGTATGCTCTGCTACACCTGGGGAAGGAATATTCCAGGCAGAGGGAGCAGCAAATGCAGAGAGAGAGAGAGAGAGATGCAGAGGTGTGTGAGGGTGTGCAGGGGGAAAGGGAATGAGCCAGGAGGGCTGAGATGGCAGTGAGCAGGGAGAGTGATGGGGGACGGCACTGGGGTGTTCCCTTGCACAGGTAGCGAGCCACTCTGCCTCAGTTTCCCCCCCTGTGCAGGGGTGGTGGTGCATCCTGCTGTGATAAATTTGGACCTCAAGGCAGGTTAAGAGCCCAGCTGTGCCACTTGCCATCTTTGTGGCCTCTGCCTAGTCACTTCTGTTCTCCAGGCCTCCTGTTATCCACCTCTGTAAGGGGAGCGTGAGGATGGTACCAGCTTGGACCAGACTGAGAATCCACTGAGATCAAGCATGTAAAGCACTTGTGTCAGGCCCTGAAAGTGCTCAATAAATGGCAGCCGCTGTGTTTTTTATAATGACCATGCCCATCCATCTAGAGGAAACTGGGGCACAGAGAGCTTAGTATCATGCCCAACATCACACAGCTAGTAAGAGACGGCTAGGATTTAAGTCCAGATCTAACAGCTCTTAACCTCTGTATTATCCTGAACCCTCAAGTAAGTGAATGGTGTTGGGGTCTTTGAGGGAACCCCGGTCCAGTTCCGAACACATGGAGAACAAAGTCAAGGAAAAGGCTTCCGGAGGCCAAATCATGACATTTATTGTGACAAAAGCTAGGTTGGGGAGGAAGGCGTGGCTCCTGTCCGCACCTCAGGTGTTTCCGACACCAGACCCCAGAAGGACATTTCCATCTAGTCACTGGCAACACCGAAGTAGAGCGGGCTTCCCTCCGTGGAGGGATCAGGGTCAGAGAAGGGCACAGGCAGCTCCTAATGGGAAAGTTGAGTTGACCTGCGCATGCCCAGTTTATTTCCTCCAGACTCACCAGGCAGATGAGTCCCCACATATCCCCTGGGCAGAGCAAGTAAAGGGACAGGAGTGTTATCCCGAAGCTTCCATTCACAGGGAGAAAAGCATCCCAAGTAGAGAAGGGACACCACCCCCCCATAATGAGTGAGTGAGCAAGCAGGCGAGTGAATGAACGAGGGTCTCCCTACTGTGGGGTGGAGGGTGGGCAGGACTGCCCCCCTGGGGGTCCCCCACCTCCACCTCACCCTCCTCTTGTCCACAGTTGCAGGTGCTCTCATTGCTGACTTCTTGTCTGGCCTGGTGCACTGGGGAGCTGACACCTGGGGCTCCGTGGAGCTGCCCATCGTGGGGAAGGTGCGTATATTGACCCAGCCCTGCCACCCAGCAGGGGGTTGGGCTGTCTGACCTTGGGTGAGCCCCCTTCCTCTCTGAGCCTCCTGTTTCCCTGTTTGAAAGACAGAAACCATCATTCCAGCCTGACCCCATGCCCCTCCTCCGGGACCAGAAGAGACTAGAAACCCCCCTGGGATTTTCTGGAAGCAAAAGCATGAAGCATGGGATAGTCAGAAAGCTTTGAACCCCCTGAATTTGGGGGCCACGTCTCTTTCTGACTATCCCATGAATTTGGGGGCCACGTCTTACTCTCCTTTGCCAGCCCTGCTGCGTCTCACTGTTTGTGTTAAGTGAACTTTGCCTCCCATCAGACTTCTTTGGTTGTGACGCAGTGTCCAGTACGAGCTGGCTTAACCAAATAAAGGGACTGATTCACGTAACTGAACATTTCAAGAGTAGAACCAAGGTAAAGCGTTGCCGGGTCCAGTAGGACAGACGGTCATACCGTGTTCTCATGACTCCATCTCCCTGCATCCCTGTCAGGCACTGTGGCAGAGAGATGCTCTGAGTGGCCGGGCCAGGGTCACGTGCTCACTTTCACCTAGGGGATGGAGGGGTCAGCCCCATCGGAACAGCTCGTACCAACACAAGAGGAAGAGGGGGAGACTGTTACTGGGAGGGGCATGGCCGCAGGGGAGAAATAGAAGGGGCCTGCCTGCCACTGTGAGGGGCGTCCTCAGCTGTATTAGAGTGGGGAGGAGGGGTGGAGATTGTCTCCAAGTCCCCTCACACCGCTGATGGGGAGACTGAGGGCCCAAGTGGGGCAGTACCATCCCGAGGTCCCCACCAAGTCACTGCGACTGTCTTCTGCCAGAGCTGTTTAGACCGGGACCCTGAAGGCCAGGTGGGCTCCGTTATCAGTAGCATGGTGGAATGTTCTGGCATCCCAAAGGCCAGGAGGCGAGCCCGAGTCCAGTGTGCACAGGAGGTGGTGGAGAGAGGCTGGCCACCACAGGCTGACTGGTCCCGTATATCCCTTCTCCCGCCCACACCCCCACCCCAGGCTTTCATTCGACCCTTCCGGGAGCATCACATCGACCCCACAGCCATCACCCGACACGACTTCATCGAGACCAACGGGGACAACTGCCTGCTGACATTGCTGCCTCTGCTGAACATGGCCTACACGTTCCACAGCCAGAGCCCCGGTGAGCGTGCCGGCCGGCGGCGGGCTGCAGGGGCCTGTGGGGACAGAGTTCCCTCACAACATTATAAAAGATTTTTAGTTGCCGGCCTGTAGAATTGGGATATTTGACATAAAATCTGTGTTCCCAGCTTCTCTTGGACGATCCGCTCTGGCCATCCTGGGTCCTCGTTCCCACTGGTGGGAGCTGAGCTGCGGTCGCCATCTTTAGACAGTCCCCACTACCCGCTGCTGTCCTACACCTGGCCCACCTTGCCCGTCTACATGGCCTGCCTGGCCCTGAGGGCTGCTGGCTTGGCTGCCCTGGCTTAGTTGGAAGAATATAGGCTGTGAACTCAGGAAGTTCTGAGTTCTGATCTCTGCTCTGCCTGTCTTGGGGAAAAAAGCAAGTCATTCTCACCTCTGTGAGCCTCAGTTACCTTATCTGTCAGGTGGGCAGAAGTGGCGGGCGGGGGGATAAGTACTTCCTCCGTTCCGGGTCTTGTTCTAACAACTTGACACCTCAGGGATCCTTAGAGCAGCGCCCCCTCTGTGGGTAGCTGTGAGGAGTTGCTGTGGTGCGGTGGGTGCTGCGGTGCCCGCCCGTATCCTCTTCCGCAGGCTTGCGCCCATCCCCCAGCTGCCGTGAGTGGTGGCTGCTAACAACTCCCCACTGTCCCTTAGGAGAACTGCCAGAGCAGGTCCCACCTCTCCCCTTGGGATAAGCCTAAAGCCTAAGCCTAAAGTGACAGGAAAAGCCTACAGAAGACCAGCCCTCTCACCTCTGGGTGGGACCAGCTCTGTGGAGCCGAGCTGCCCCCAGGATCAGGCTGACAAGACTCCCCCAACCCCATCATTGCTTAGCTCTCCCCCTGCTTCCCTCACCCCCTCAGGTGTTTTTCTGAACAGAGGACACCCCCCCCCCGCTGCATTCCTCCTCATATAAATTATGAGCACATGAACCCTTGTCTCAGGCTCTGCTTCTAGGGAACCTGGACAAAGACTTACTCCCATTTTACTGATGACGAAGTTGAGACTCAAAGAGGCAGAGGCACTGACCCAAACTCATATAGCCAAGAAATCTCAGAGCACGGACCTGAACCCAGCTCTGCCTGACTCCAGAGCCCAGATCTGTAACAATTTCTTACGCTGACTCCATTATTTGCCCACTGAACAGAAGAGAGGACTGAGGCCCAGAGGGGAGTGTGAACTTGCCTGAGACCATGGGGGAGGGTGGAAGGAGGCCTGGGAGCTGCCCAGGGGCAAGTGGGGAGGGCCAGGCTGGTGGTGGCCCCGCCCGGTGACAACTGTGTGGCCCTGTGGGCACCACCCTCTCCCCACCTTGCAGAAGCCCTGGAGCAGCTGTACCCCTGGGAGTGCTTCATCTTCTGCCTGATCATCTTCGGCACCTTCACCAACCAAATCCACAAGTGGTCACACACGTACTTTGGGCTGCCACGCTGGGTCACCCTCCTGCAGGACTGGCATGTCATCCTGCCACGCAAACACCACCGCATCCACCACGTCTCTCCCCACGAGACCTACTTCTGTATCACCACAGGTGCGGCTACAGGGTGGCATGGAATAGGCTGTCCCCACGTCCAGCGGGAGCTCCATCCTAGGATCGGTAGGGCAGGGGTCACAGGAGGAGGTCCTGGAATCCTCGCCCTACAGGAGCATGCTCTTACAACACACACCCACCTACTATGTGCCAAGCATTCTAGGTGCGGGGGGGGAGGACGACCTTCCCCACTCCCACCTCCCGCCTCATGGAGCTGTGATCCCACCCAGCCAGCCAGCTCATACTTGCTGGGCACCTACCATGTGCCACGCACTGTCCTGGGCTTAGGACAGAGCACCAAAGGACCAGGCACAGATCCCTGCCTTTGTGGCATTCCTGTTCTCCTAGGGGACATGCCAGACAGTACAGAAGTCGTACATTTAACCGTGCTGACTGCTGTGGAGCAAAACAAAGCAGAGGGTAGGAGAAGGAACTGCGGGACTTTCCCCTTGAGAGAAGGCAGTCGGTGAAGGCCTCACTGAGAAGGGGACATTTGAACTGAGGGAGAGAATGATGCAGATCTGGAGGAAGAGCAGTCCAGGCCACAGGAACAGCAGGTGCAAAGTGCCTGAAGGAGGACACACGTGCCTGGTTGGTTTGAGGAACTGCAAGGTAGTTAGTATGGCTGGAGCGAAGGGCATTAGGGGCAGAGTAGAGGGGAGATGACCAAGTCCAGATGTGAGAAATGCTATGGGGGACAGAGCAGGGTAAAGAGCAGAGACGCGTGGAGTGAGGAGGCAGGAGTAGCTGTTCATAGAAGGAGGTGAGAAATCGGAAACCAGCGTGAGAGAGACCCCTGCAGCCAAGTCAGGACAGACCAGTTCAGACAAAGGGAATAGCAAGTACAAAGGCCCTGAGGCAGGAACATGCCTGGTGTGGCTGAGGAACAGTAAGGAGACCCACATGCCATTGGGGGTTCATGAGCCGGTACCAAAGGTGAATGGAGCAGGTTTGCTGGGGCCCCCTGGCATCAAACTTCAGTGGGACTGAGGTGCTCTCGGCATCCTGACAGCAAGTCAGGCCGGCTTCGGCTCAACTATCAGCTCCTTCCCCACCCCCCCGCCGGAATGGGGCTGCAGCGCCCTCCTTACATATGGCCTTCCCAGGCCAGGCTGTGAATGGCACTATGGCAGAGGCCAGGGCTTGTCATGTGATAGCTCCTGGATAAGTTATAGCTCCTGGTTTTCGCAGGGGGCGGGGCGCGTTGTCTTTCTGGAGGCAGAACTGAGAACCACCAAAAATAGTTTTTGTATGTCTGAAAGTCATGTTCTTGGACAGGTGGACGGGTTAGAATTTAGGCTGCTGAGATCAGGTTAACTGCTCAGCCAGGCCTAGGATCCATCCTGGTTTGGCCACCCACTAACTGGGAGACTCCCCTCCAAGCCTGTCTTCTCATCCGGAAAATGGCACAGATAGTACCTACCTCGTGATTTGGGTGGGAGGCTGTAAAAGAGAGGAAGTAAGATCGTAAGCAGTATTTATTGAGCATCTACCATGTGCCAGGGGATCACCAGTGGAGGAAAAACACGGGCTTCTGCTGTGTTGGGAGTTGCAGAGAAAAACCAACACAAAACAGGAAGGGGGTGAATTAATGAGAACCGTTACAGGTCATCATAAAAGCTGTAACGAAACAAAGGAGGGTGATGTGGTCAAGGAAGGCTCCCTGGAAGAGGTGGCAGGGGAGCCCGGTGATAAGAAATGCTGCCACCGTACTTGGCACATAGTAAGCACTGGGTAAGAAAGTGAATGAGTGAGGGGACGAAGGCATGTGTGAGCAGCCCCTAAGCCCATTGGTGGGAGGTGCCCACCCCCAGATTCCTTGGTCAGCCCTTGTCCCCTGCCCTGTCCAGACTGACTCCTCGGTGCCCCTGCCCCAGGCAAAGCCAACACGTTTCTTCCGTCTCCTCAACTGCCGCTCTCCTCTTCAAACCCCCATGCTCTGTTTCCACTGCAGGCTGGCTCAACTACCCTCTAGAGAAGATAGGCTTCTGGCGACGCCTAGAGGACCTCATCCAGGGCCTGACAGGCGAGAAGCCTCGGGCAGACGACATGAAATGGGCCCAGAAGATCAAATAACTCCTGGGAGCCTGCCACCTTATTGCCAACCTTCCCCAGCCCCCCAAACCGAAGCCATCTGCCAAATTCCAGCCTCCTCGTGCTGGCCCCTCCAGGTGGGGAGGACGCCTCCTGGGCTGGGCCCAGGCACCCCCCAGCCCACCCCTCGTGACACAGAATACTTGAGCCACTGATTTTTCATTTCCTTTTTTTCATTTTCTTTCCTTGGCCCCTCCCCAGCCACCTGAGCTGCTCTTGTCTCCAAGCCTGACTCTGCAGAAAAAGGAGCCCCGCCCTGCTAGCCATTCCTTGGGTAGAGGGAAAGCTCATTCACTCCCTGCACTCCTCCAGCCCGCGCCCCCCCCCCCCCGAGCTGCACGTTGGGCACTTTTAACTCCTGGTGTCAACCTAGTGAGGAGGCTCTGATCACCAGCCTCTGAGAGGCCAGGTGACATGCCAGTTGGCCGTCCCCGGGGCAGCAGCCGAGTCTGGGATCAGACCTGCCCAGCTCTTAAGCCACAGCCTCTCCCAGCAGGGGCCGGACAGCGTCCAGTTAGCACCGGGAGGAGAACGTGTGGGAGCCCAGGTGTGTGCTGTGTGAGCCAGGAGCCTGGGTGTCCCAGGCAGGTCGCCACCTCCCTTCCCTGGTTGGGGTCAGAACTTCCCATCCCTGGCTCAGGAGCTCGGGCTGTCCAGTCACAGCGTGTGACACCAGCTCCCCCATCCCACACCTTTGCCTCTGGGCTGATAAGAGCAGACAATCTCCTGATAGTGGTGCTTGCAAAGTCCCTAATCGATTTAAGTAGCCACCCTGATTTGTGTGTTAACACGCAGGAGGCCAGGCATCGTGCCAGTGTGCAGGGCCTGCCTCTAGCCCAGCACTGTCTCCCCAGAGGTCCCGGCACCTCTGACAGGCCCCGAAAACCAGGGGAGGCGGAAGCATGAAAAGGTGCCCAGTTAATAAACATGGACCAACGATGCAATGCTGGGAAGCAAAACCAAGATAAGAGAACGGGCAGGGAAGGCCCTTCTAGAAAAGTATTTGCAGGGAGACCTGAAGGAGGCGAGGGAAGAGGCCAGGCAGGTGTCTGGGGGAGGGGTGGCAGGGAACAGCAGGTACAAAGGCCCAGAGGCTGGTGTGTGCCCAGGGAACAGATGGGAAGCCAGTGTGGCTGGAGAAGGTTGATCCGAGGAAAAGTAGTTGGTGGCAGCTCAGAGGTGGGAGGAGGGGGTGTAGACTGCAGGGCCGTGGTCTGGACTCGCGGTTTTGTTCTACAGGCCACGAGGGGCCATTGGTGAGCTACAAGGAGGGTGGATGGGGGCAGGGAGGACCGGAGAGGAGGCGAGCATGGTGGCCCAGACTGGGTAGGGCAGTGGAGGCGGTGAAAAATGGTCAGATTTGTGGTGAGCTGTACGAGGCGAGCGGCCAGCGTGTCCTGTCAGCTCGGCTGTGGAGGTGAGAGAGGGCCTGTCGGTGGCAACTCTCAGGCTTTCATGGAAGGGACAAGGTGGCCATTAACAGGGGTGGGAAGAGGCGGCTGGGGGGAGATGCTTGAGCTGCCTGCCTGAGAGCCAGGGCGAGGTGCCAAGCAGGAAATTGCAAATCCAAGTGTGGAGTCCGGGAAGGCAGCCGGAGATAGAAATCTGGGAGTCCTCTCAGTAGAAGAGGTATTTGAAGCTCAGATGCTGGCAGAGTGCCCGCAGGGGCTGAGTGCAGGCGGAGAAGAGGCCCAAGGCCCCCGTGCCTCCAGGCTGTGGGGGAAGGAGGAAGAGCCAGCTGAGGGGGCGGGAGGGGTTGCAGAGGGCAGAAGGAGAATGTGTCTCCAGAAGACTTGGGGGTCAACTAGGAGTGGCCGCGGAGCAGACCAGCGGGATGGGACAGCAAGGGGACCACTGGATTTGGCCATGTGGAGGCCGTCAGTGACCTTGACAAGGACAGTGTTGTCATCAGTGAAAGTGTGAACAAATGAATGTCCCTGGGAGCCTTGAGCTATTGGCTGTGCCTGGGGAAAGTGGAGGAAGAGCTTGGGCGCTTGTGAGTTGGCCCTTGAGGAGTGAGTAGAAGTTTCTGGAGGCCTGGTAGAGGAGGGGGTGTTCCAGGCAAGGGAGCACAATGAATGCAAAGACTGGTGGTGAAGTCAGAGGTCACCTGGCCTCAGGTCAGGTGAGGAGTCAAGCTGAAAGATGGTTTAAAAAAAAAAAAAAAAGCCAGGATTTGGCCCAGCCCCTGCGGAGCAGCCTGCCTTCAGCTGATTGCTTCTTCTTTTTTTTTTTTTTAGATTTTATTTATTTATTTGACAGAGAGGGAGAGAGCACGAGAGAGGGAACAGAAGCAGGGGGAGTGGGAGAGGGAGAAGCAGGCTTCCCGCCGAGCAGGGAGCCCA